TGCGTGAGTTGATTCTCCAGGAGGCTTACAGTTCGCGGTAGTCTATTCATCTGGGTGCCGCGAAGATGTATCAGGACTTGAGGTAGCATTACTGGTGGAGGAGAATGAAGAAGGACATAATGGAGTATGTGGCTCGGTGCCTAAATTGCCAGCAGGTGAAATATGAGCATCAGCGACCAGGTGGGTTGCTTCAGAAATTGGATATTCCGGAATAGAAATGGGAGCGGATCACTATGGATTTTGTTGTTGGACTCCCATGGACTCAGCGGAGGTTTGATTCAGTTTGGGTGATTGTGGATAAGCTAAACAAGTCGGCTCATTTTATTCATGTGATGACTACCTATTTTTCTGAGCAGCTATCTCGAATCTACATCCGTGAGATCGTCAGGCTTCATGGCATATCGATATCTATTATATCTGACTGGCGTATGCAGTTTATATCACGGTTCTGGAGAGCTGTACAACATAAGTTGGGTACTCGGGTTGAGTTGAGCACAATATTTCACCATCAGACGGATGGACAGTCCGAGCGCACTATTCAGATTCTTGAGGATATGCTCTGTGCGTGTGTGATGGAGTTTGGAGGTGCTTGGGACTAGTTTTTACCACTTGTGGAGTTTGCTTACAACAACATTTATCAGTCCAACATTCAAATGGGACCATATGAGACTCTGTATGGTAGGCGGTGTCGGTCCCTAATGGGTTGGTTCGAGCCGGGCGAGGCCAGATTATTGGGTACGGACTTGGTTTAGAATGCCTTGGAAAAGGTAAAGGTGATTCAGGAGATACTTCGCATAGCCCAGTCCAGACAGAAAAGTTATGCAGACCGAAAGGTTCACGATGTTGCATTCATGGTTGGAGAGCAGGTCTTGCTCCAGGTTTCGCCTATGAAGGGCGTTATGAGATTCGGAAAGAAGGGCAAGCTGAGCTCAAGGTTCATTGGTCCTTTTGAGGTGTTACAGTGTGTTGGGGAGGTTGCTTGTGAGCTTGCCTTACCTCCCAACCTAGCAGGAGTCCATCCGGTATTTCATGTTTCGATGCTCCGAAAGTATCACGGTGATCCGGCTCACGTATTGGATTTCAGCTCAGTCCAATTGGACAAGGATCTATCTTATGTTGAAGAGCTAGTGGTTGTTTTAGACAGGCAGGTCAGAAAGCTAAGGTCAAAGAATATTGCTTCTGTGAAGGTTCAGTGGAAGGGACAGTCGGTCAAGGAGGAGACTTGGGAGACCGAGCAGGATATGCGCAGCCGTTATCCTCATCTTTTCACCACTTCAGGTATGTCTCTATGCTCGTTCGAGGACGAACGATTATTTTAAGAGGGAGAGGATGTAACGATCCGGTCGGTTGGTTTGAGAGTTAAAGCCCCGAACCCCTAATAACTGCTTTCCCCATATCTATTTCTGCTATTGTGACTTGCCGGGATGATTGGTTTTGAGTTTCGGAGTGTTTTGGGATACTTAGTCCCTAAATGAGAGCTTAAGTCTTAGAATTTGGACCGTAGTCGGAACTATATGAAGACGGTTCCGAAATGGAATTTCGTCGATTCCGTTATCTTCGTTGGGTATTTTGGGCTTAGGGGCGTGTTCGGAATGTTATTTGGGGGCCCGTAGCTCATTTAGGCTTGAAATGGCGAAAGTTGAAATCTTGGAGTTTTGGACCGGTAGTGAAAATTTTGATATCTGGATCAGAATCCGATTCCGAAAGTTGGAATAGGTCCGTAGTGTTGAATATGACTTGTGTGCAAAATTTGGGGTGAATAGGACATGGTTTGGTCGGTTTCGGCATCGGTTGTAGAATGTTGAAGTTTCAAGTTCTTAAGATTTGAATAGGAGAGTGATTTGCAATTTTTAGCGTTGTTTGATGTGATTTGAGGATTCGACTAAGTTCGTATGGTGTTTTAGGATTGGTTTGTATGTTTGGTTGGGGTCTCGGAGGTTTCGGGGGTGTTTCGGATGCTCAACGGGTCATTTTTGGACTTAAGGAGTCGGCAATTTTTGCCGGTGTTCTCCGGCTGGTTTCCTTCATTGCTATCGCGGGAGAAGGCTCGCGATCGCGTAGAGTAATTGGGAGACCAGCTGGATTATCTCTTCGCGTTTGCCAAGAATGAGATGCGATCGCGTAGGTTTGTCAGGTTATGCATTGCGAACGCGTGGGCTAGGCCGCGATCGCGAAGAAGAAATAAGGCAGCATTGGAATTGGGTGTTGTTCTTCGCGATCGCGTGAGGTCAGTCGCGATCGCGTAAGTCTGAGGAGCTATTTCATCGCGTTCGTGTGGAGAGTTACACGTTCACGTAAAGTAAAATAATGGGGCAGCAAAGTTGTTCTTCGCGATCACGAGGGTGTTTCCGCGATCGCGATGAAGGAAAAATATTTGGGTAGAATTAAAGTTCAAAATTGAGGGGTTTTGGTTCATAACTCAAAATTTAATTGAGAGCTCGGTAGAAGGCGAAATTTGGAGAGATTTTCGGAGAAAGTTTTTGGGTAATGATTTTTAACTCCTTTATGGTTATATTTCACTAATCTATGGTTGATTTCATCATTTAATTTTGGATTTTGGGATTGAAATTGGGAAAAATTTGGAAGAACTTCTTCAACAATGATTTCGAGTTTTGAAAGGGGATTTGTGGTCGGATTTGAGTAATTTTTATATGGTTAGACTCGTGAGTGAATGGATGTTCGTATTTTGTAACTTTTACCCGATTCCGATACGTGGACCCCACGTGCGATTTTTGAGTTAATTTCGGAATATTTGTTAAAGTGTTGATTTCATTAATTAGATGAGTCTATTATGGTTGTTTTTATGATATGTAATTATTTTTGGCTATATTTGGGTCACTCGGATTCGGATATTCGTGGGAAAGGCATTGTGACCGATTGATTGAGCTTGGTTCGAGGTAAGTGGCTTACCTAACTTTGTGTGGGAGAAATCCCCTTAAGATTTGGAACTAATGTGATATGTGAGCGCCTTGTACGTGAGGTGACGAGTATGTACGCGGGATAGTTGTGAAAAACCCGATTTTCTTACTAAGCAGCAACATGTTTTCCTTTTATTTTTAGTTATACCATTTTAATGAGTATTAATCTATTTCATTCTTAATTGAGTTATTCCAATATATGTAGCTATCCTGTTTAGTCTAATACAACATATCTACGTGTCTTAATTGCTTATGTGAACTCTGTGCATCATGCTTAGTGAATTTCGTGGTTCTTCCTTGACTGGTACTTAGTCTAAATCGTAAAATTTTGTGATGTAGTTGCATTTCTATTATTTGCGCTGCATATTTACTTTGGGACTACGGAACGATATTCCGGGAGATCCCCCTGTACTGCATATTTACTTTGGGACTACGAAACGGTATTCTGGGAGATCCTCTTGTACTGCATATTTACTTTGGGACTACGGAATAGTATTCCGGGAGATCCCTCTGTTTTGCATATTTACTTTGGGACTACGGAATAGTATTCCGGGAGATCCCTCTGTTTTGCATATTTACTTTGGGACTACGAAACGGTATTCTAGGAGATCCCCCTACACATTTACGTTTGGGACTACGAGACGGTATCTCGGCAGATCCTCTGTTGTGTTTCTGTATACTGAGCTATTACCTTCTATGATTTCATTGTTGTTAAATTTCAGCCTTTATTTTATTACGGCATTACACTCTATATTATTTTATTATGTATTTACCAGTAGGGCCCTGACCTGACCTCGTCACTACTCGATCAAGGTTAGGCTTGGCACTTACTGGGTACCAATTGTGGTATACTCATGCTACTCTCTGCACATATTTTTTCGTGTGCAGATCTAGGTAGTCCTTATCAGCCGCACTATCGGTGAGCCGGAACAGCTTTGGAGACTTCAAGGTATATCTGCCGCGTCCGCAGACCTCGGAGTCCCCTTCTACTCTTTCTCATGTCCATTATTTTTTGTATTTTTCCTTTGTTAGACTGTGATGTATAGAGACACTAAATTTTCTTTCTGTAGTTTGTGATTCACGATGTTCCGGATTTTAGGATTGCTGTGTATTTTTGAACGGTTAATTGTTAAAAATTATGTTTTTATTTCATTATTCCGCAACTGTTAGACTTACCTAATCATAGAGATTAGGTGCCGTCACGATGTCATACGGAGGGAAAATTTGGGTCGTGACAAAAAGGTATGTAACATTCTTTGATAAGAATACTTTTTGAGAAGAAGACTTTCTCTCTAAAAAAAAGATACAAATACTATCTTTCTGAGAAGATTCGATTATCTATTATTCCATACTTTTTCATCAGATCCGAGAATAGTTCCAATATTATAACATTTGCCTATCACTCATCACTGTGAGAAGGAGGAATCATTCAGCCCATTCGATATTGAGTGAATCATTCTCCTTATTTACGTTAATGCCATTTATTATTATTTATTGCTTGAAATTCTTCTATCATTAATGATCTTGTAATATTGAATGTACACAACATTTAATCCTCCACCAACACTATCCGGTTTATTTGAGTTGACTAGTTATAAATCTGAGGATATTATTTTTAACTAAGTTTAATCCCTATTTAAATAAAATTAATTAGTTTAATCAAAGGTTTATATTTTTTGGCCAAACAGCTATATGTATGTATGTAATCAATAAGAATTCAAAGTTTCAAAGTGGTGCGTCATGAGTCAGTGTTATTTATTCTAATTTCAAATTAAAATAAGGTATTACAAGTTAATTTCTATTATAAATATTAATTAATAATATAATTAATTTGTTATCACAGGTTAAGCTACGCAGATAATATAAGTAAAATATCTTTTACACAACTAGTGTACATATAATTAGCTTAAATCCATTTTGTATTACTGCATTAATTAAAGGTGAAAGAAAACATGCAAAATCAAAGTCTATATCTTTTTTAACTTATTCAAGTTAACCTCATCATAAAGCTAAGAGGATGATTTATTTGCTTAATACATCATATTATAGTTGAACCTAAAAGCTTAAGAAACAAGTTTTATGCTATTTTCTGAAAAGTTTAATCCCTCTCCAACGAGACTCCATACGATCAGACTCATTATCTTGTCCATAAACTCCGAACTTAAAATAATGATGGTCTCCACCTCTTCCAGAAGCTTCATACTTGAGATTTCCATTTATATAAACCTTCAATTTACTTGCACCAACATCATGAATTACATTTAGCCTAAACCATCTGTTGTAAATGTTTGGTTCAATTGTTGTTCTATAGTAAGTGAGGTCCCCATTGTAATCTCTTAGCATTAATGTTAGGATCGGGAACTCGGGTAGTGCGGAATATAGCTAAACAACGATATGATGACAATAACAAAGACAATTGAAGTTGATAACAACGACAATTAAAGTAGATAAAAAAGACACAAATTTAACGTGGTTCGATCAAAGTGACCTACGTCCACAAGCGGAGAGGAGCAATTTACTATAACAATAAGAGTACAAAAAAGAGTACAAAATTAGAGTAAACACTCTAATTAATCCCAAATACCCTAAGAGAATAACCTCACAAGATCACTCCAAAGAAAGGGTTCACACAAGTGCTTCCCAACACTAACTCTCATACAAAACACTCTTAATAAAGGAAGAAAGGAAGAAACAAGAATTGTAGACAAGTCTTGTTGGTGTGTCTAAAATGAACTAATAGCCTTCTCTTTTATAGGCAAAAAAGTCTTGGCCTCTTAGGTGTAAAAGAAGAGATACAACTTGTGCAAATGATGTCCACAACACAATGCAATATTTTGGGGTCCTAAAGAATATTGCCAACAAAGTCTACACTTTGCAAAGATACTTATGCTTATGTGAGATGGACTCCATTTGACAAAATAATGGCCATATTACAAATCTCCACCTTGGCCTAATTTTGGATAATATAGTAAATTTGCTCCACCTTCTCCGTAAAATTTCCAATGGGCATATGTCAAAATTTAATGCCATCAAAATCAGACAAGTTGTCTGATACCGAAACTGTAGTAGGGCCTATAACAGTGGAGCCCAATAAAGTATACAACGAACCAGATCTGTGTGCTTTCATGATCACACGAGCACCTTGAAAAATTTTCAGAACTCCACCTTCACCAGTGAATTTGCACCCAAGGGATTCTAAAGTGCCCAAAGATATGAGATTTTTCTTCAACTCAGGAACATATCTAACATCGGTGAGAGTTCTCACCACATCATCATGCATTCTGACCCGAATTGTACCTTTGCCAATAACGTTACAAGTAACATTGTTACCCAATTGGACAACTCCACCTGCAACTGAATCATATGTAGAAAACAAGTCCCTTCTAGGACACATATGATATGAACAACCGAAATCTAAAATCCACTCATTGTCTAATCTGAAACTAGTTTCAGTTGCTAAAAATATAGTTCCCTCAATCTCATCAGTTGCTACACTAGCTTCGGCGGTGTCAGTAATTTTGTACTCATTTTTTCTTTCCTTAAGCTTTTCTTTATTTTTCAGCTTATAACATTCGGAGATAATGTGACATTTCTTATGATAATAGCGACACTGTAAATTATTGTATCTGGATATGGAGTCGGAGTTGCCCCTAACAAACAAGCCAACTTCCGCTTGAGTTCCACTAGTTTCCCCAGTAATATCACTATCTATCTGTTCCTTTGATTTTAAGATAGATTTAATATCCTTATAAGAGATATCATCCTTTGCATAAAGCATAGTATCTCTTATATGCTTAAAAGATGGGGGTAGAGAACAAAGCAGTAACACGGCTTGATCCTCATCTTTAATTTCAGCATCTATATTACTCAAATCCATAAGAATAGAATCAAATGTATCAAGATGAGAGAGAATAGAGGTACCTTCACCCATACGAATTGTATAAAGCTTCTGCTTCAGGTAAAGTCTATTTTCCATCGTCCTTTTCATATATAAGGTTTTCAATTTTTTCCACATGCCTTTAGCTGTGGTTTCTACAGAAACTTTACGTAAAACCTCATTTGAGAGATTTAAAATAATACCTGTTTTTGCTTTTTTGTCTATGATGGCAAACTCCTCATCCGTCATTTTATCCGGCTTCTTCTTATTTCCTTGCAACGCCAAGTCTAAGCCATCCTGAATTAGGATAACTTCCATCTTTAATTGCCACATTCCGAAGTTTGCACTTCGGTCAAATTTCTCAACATAGGTCTTTGTTAGAGTCATTTTGACTATTGAAACTAACCGGGTTAGATCCGGCTCTGATACCAATTTGTTAGGATCGGGAACCCGAATAGTGCGGAATATAGCCAAACAACGGTATAATGACAATAACAAAGACAATTGAAGTTGATAACAACGACAATTAAAGTAGATAAAAAAGACACAAATTTAACGTGGTTCGATCAAAGTGACCTACGTCCACAAGCGGAGAGGAACAATTTACTATAACAATAAGAGTACAAAAGAGAGTACAAAATTAGAGTAAACACTCTAATTAATCCCAAATACCCTAAGAGAATAACCTCACAAGATCACTCCAAAGAAAGGGTTCACACAAGTGCTTCCCAACACTAACTCTCATACAAAACACTCTTAATAAAGGAAGAAAGGAAGAAACAAGAATTGAAGACAAGTCTTGTTGGTGTGTCTAAAATGAACTAATAGCCTTCCTTTTTATAGGCAAAAAAGTCTTGGCCTCTTAGGTGTAAAAGAAGAGATACAACTTGTGCAAATGATGTCCAACACACAATGCAATATTTTGGGGTCCCAAAGAATATTGCCAACAAAGTCTACACTTTGCAAAGATACTTATACTTATGTGAGATGGACTACATTTGACAAAATAATGGCCATATTACAATTAAGGTTGTGGCTGAAGTTGATGCTCCAAATATTTGCATTATTGACACACCAGTTGTACCACTAGGAATATATCCATATGCCTCAAATTGCCACACACCCGATGAATAATCGCGCCCCTAAAATTAATAAATCAATTAATTGTTAAAACATTAGATGAAACATCTCTCTCTTTTTTCGTTTAGCAATGTAGTTGCTTTTGAACATGAAAAAGATATAAGAGTTGCAGTAACTTGACGACCATGTAGAAATAATTTAAGTGGAAAGGGTTAAATCTGCCCCTTGTACTATTCGGAATTGAGCAACTTTATTTTTTTGTTAGACTTTTAATCAAATATTAATTAATCCCGTCATTAGTAACAACAAGGTCTCATTTTTGCCCTAATCTCTTAATAAAGCTCAACTTGAGGGGTAGTTTTGAACCATAGTAAAAAGTTAAGAGATAAAATTGTAGAAGAATTTGGATAGGTGGAGTTCACCCATATAAATGGCAAGGGCAAATATAAGAGATTTTTCAACGACAAGAATATAGACTGGCCAAAAGTAACACTAGGGCAGAAGTAAGCAATTTCGTACAGTATAGAGGCAAACTTGAATATTTTCCCTTATTATGATTAATTTTTTAATAAATATAGATGATTCACGTAACCCCGACTATAGATAACTAGTTTGCAACTTATGATATATAAGTGATTGAATTTTTTTTGTGACTTTACCGTTATACGAATTTCAGTACGAGGTTTTGTTTGGCTAGTGGGAGTATGAGGCTTGTCCGTCTTGAAAACCCACATCTTATGAACTCCATTGATAAAGGAATACCTTTGATTTACAGCCACATCATAAGGCTTTTGAATTTGGAAGTTGCTTTCACTAAGAGTTACGGAAGTGAAACCATCAGTAGGATCAGCTTTGCAACACAGATGGTTTTGGATTACAATTAGTTGAAGAAGAGTGAATAATATCAATGGGAGATGAGGAGAAGAGATCAAAGCCATGTTTTTTGATGAAATACTCAATAGATTTTGGCTGAAACTTGAGTAGCTAGGTGTATTTATAGGGAAATATTTTGAGAAATTTGTAGAAGTCACTCAACATGCGATGGTGACACTTACAATTTGCCTCGTTAAAAAAGAAAAAAGGCAACTCGGTGCACAAGGCATCTCGCGTTTACGCAGGTTCGTGAATTGGCCGCACAGTAAGCTAAGGGTTGTGATGTAGACAGTATATCATAATACAAGTATTAGTGACTGCTTTCACAACTCGAACCCATGATTTATAAGTCCAACGGAGACAATTTTACCGTAGGTAAAAGGTTCTCCTTCTTACAATTAGCATCATTGAGCGTTGAATATGAGTTGGAGGGACTAAGAGCCCGTTTGGACATAAGAATTTTTTTTTTTTTTTTTCAAAAAACTTTNGAGAGTTTTACTAATTTAAAAGGTCAAACAATTAATAAAAGAAAATAATGAACAAAAAAACTTATTATGCGGTGTATAAGAGATTTGTGTTATAAATATATTATATTATGGATGTTCATTTAGTAATTTTTTTTTTTTTTTTTTCAAAAAACTTTCACTTTTCTTCGAAATCAGCGTTTGTTCATAAAATTTTTAATTTTCACTTGAAGATGCATTTTAAAAAATTTCAAAAATTTGAAAAAACTCTAAATGTTTTTCAAAATTTTTACTCAAATCACTCACAAAATTTCAAAAACAACCCAAAATTAAATTCATATCCAAACATAACTCTAAATTCCAAATATCATTTTCGCAAAAAAAATTCCCCCTATTTTGAAATTTTACCTCCAAACGCCACTCATGAGTGTGCTGATTAGTCTTTGCCACTGTGAGATGAACGGCTTCGTACGATTCGTCAAATTGAATAACTCTTAAATGGACGGACGACTTGTATCGAATAAGCCAAATTCAAAGGGCAGCAGCTTTCTGACTCTCTACTGCATATGCAAAACGACGGCGCAAAGGGCCAAATATATCATGTACTTTCGAAAATATTTTAAAAATATCTCTCGCTATACTATTGGGTTATATATACCTTTCCTGTCATAATTTGGAACAAATATACCTTTATTTTAGATGTAGTGCCACGTATCAGCACCAGATGAAAACGACCCATTTCTTTTTTTTACCCGATCCGTTTTAAAAAACCCACCACCCGACCCGTTTTAAAATTCAGTTTTTTTAAAGCATATATTTTGTAAAAACTGAAATTTTATTTTGTAAAAACTGGAAAAAAAAAATTGCAAAATATATATATTTTTAAGTATTTTCAGTTTTTTTTAAAGTATTATTTTTGTAAAAACTGAAAAAAATATATATTTTTTAAAAATGCTTTAAAAACTGAAAAATATATATTCTGTAAAAACTGAAGAAAAAAAAAAATATATATNTACAAAATATTTTTATTTTTTAAAAACTAATGCATATGTAGTCCACTGCTTTAGGAGAGTATCTTTTTTTTCAGTTTTTAAAAAAAATATTTTTTTTTTCAGTTTTTACAAAAATATACTTTAAAAAAAATTAAAAAGAGTTAAAAATATATATTTTGCAAATTCCTTTTTTTTTCTTCAAGTTTTTACAGAATATATATTTTTCAGTTTTTAAAATATTTTTTTTTAAAAAAAATCAGTTTTTACAAAAAAATACTTTAAAAAAACTGAAAACACTTATAAATATATATTTTGCAAAATTTTTTTTTTCATTTTTTACAAAAAAAAAAAATTCAGTTTTTACAAAATATATACTTTAAGAAAACTGAATTTTAAAACGGGTCGGGTGGTGAGTTTTTTAAAACGGATCGGGTAAAAAAAAGAAATAGGTTGTTTTCATCTGGTGCTGACACGTGGCACTCCATCCAAAATAAGGGTATATTTGTTCAAAAGTATGACGGAAAGGGTATATATAGCCTAATAGTATAACAAGGGATATTTTTAGACCATTTTCGAAAGTACAGGGGTATATTTGGCCCTTTGCCGTATGCAAAATTTTACCTAAATACTTATTTTAATGAGTTTGAATTTAGGACTATTTTAATTTTAAAACTTTTTTTCTTATCTTAGTTGATATATAATATTGTAGAGGTAGTTATGTTTAAAAAAACTGTCAACCTATATATATA